TAATAATGTCTGGTAAATGTTTGTTTTTTAGTGGTAAAATTTTGCCTAAGGATATCTTACACTGTAGTTTNTGCGATTCAGTTACAAGTATAATAAAACATTATAAGCTAGGCAAGAAATCGGATAAAATTAGACCATTGTTGGTCCAACTAAATTCTAAAGTCTTAAAAAATTTAATCATGGAAAACTTGTCTAATCTGAAAAAGTTGGATGAAGATTTGAAAGGAATCAGCATCAGTCATGACTTGACAAGGGAGCAACGGGCAGAATATAAAAAGTGGATAGAAATTGCTAAGGAGAAAGAAGCTGCTGAAAAGGAGGATTTTGAATACAGAGTGAGGGGGGACCAGGAAACTTAAGAATAATAAGAATAAAAAAAATGATGTCTTAAACTTTTTATGGTGCAGTGTAATGGACATTGTAAATGGATTTGAAGATGTGAGGCTCATATTAAAATTTGTTATGAAAATGATGAAATCCCTGTTGGGTCTTAAAATAACTGGTATAACAACTGGTGTTGGTGATGATGGTTGTGAAACTGGTAACATAGTTGGTTGTATGGATGGTCGAGATGGAGGTGATGGAAATGGCAGGAATAGTAGTTATGATGGTGTTGGTCGTGATGATTACACAAACGACAAAAATAACGGTGATGATGGTGTTGGTGATGATGGTTGTAATATCGGTAGCATGATTGGTGGTAATGATGGTTGGGATGGAAGTGATGGTGGCAGAAATAGCGAGAATATTGGTGATGATGGTGTTAATGATATCGGAAATGGCGGCAATGATGGTATTTGGGATGATGGATGTAATATCGGTACCATATTTTATTGTGGTGATGGTCGAGATGGAGGTGGTGGTGGCAGAAACAGGAGGAATATTGGTGGTATGTTTAGTTGTAATAATAGTCTGAATGGAGGTAATGGTGGCCGAAATGACAGGGATGGTGGACATGGTGGCAGAAATTGCGGGGATGGTGGTGATGGTGGCAGTGGTAATGGTGGTGATGGTGATGTTGGTATTGGTTATAATATTGGTGGCATGTTAGGTTGCAATGATGGTCAGGATAGAGGTGATGATGGTAGTTACGGCCATGATAGGGGTGATGGAAATTATGGTAAAAACATTGGCGATAGCAATGATGGGGATGAGCGTGGTTGTGGTATCAATGATGGCGTATCAAGGATCATAGTTAATAAACTCAGTAGTAATATCAAATGTTTTTGTAATGATAACAATAATGGTGGAAATAGTAGTAGTGATTATGGTGTTACAATGATGGTAGTAGTGA